GGGGGGATGTGGGGGTGGGGGTGGGGAGGCTTCTGACCTGTTGGAGGCAATGTTGGGGTAGCAGCTTCTCTGGTTGGCGTCCACCTTCACATCATTTATGGCCTCAAAGTCCTGGCTGCGGCCGTAGGCCCGGATCACACTGCAGCCAGCCACAGTCTCCGAAAAGTGGGAGTAAATGGGCGAGCGGCTGACAGATTCCAGCCGCTTCAGCTGCCGTGATGTGGCCACATAGAAGCGCTGACAGAGGATGGAGAAAGCAGCTTGGGGTCAGAACCATGGAACCCCCAGCTCAGTTCTGCATACCCTATGAACCCATCTGGGGTCCTCCCAGCCATCCCCACTCCCCCATAAGACCTTGCTCCCTTCCTCTACCTGAAGAGCCTATGACTTGGGGTCCTGATATGGTTCCACAAACTCATTCCACCCTTTCCCTCTGCTCAGCTCTGCTCAGTCTTCTAGCCTACTTCCCACAAAGCCTTTCCTGATTCCCTCCCAGCTCTTGACCACCTTCACCCTCTGTGGGGTCCTGGATTACAGCACTGACCTTGCTTGGCCTCCTAAGTCAGTGAATATGCCTATCTCTACTTAAGGGCCCTAGCAATGTGCTCACACAGTCAAATGGTTTTGCAAACTTTGCAAAAATAAGATAATTTTGTCTTCTTTTTATGAAAGAGCCTCTCCTTCCCATGCCCCTATCCAGTGGTTTAAGCTTCAGCTTAAACACAGTTCTGCCTCTAGCTTCAATCTTCGACCCTGTGGATCCCAAGATGGCCAGAGCCATACAGGACGTGTGTCTGCGAGTCCCCTGCCCCAGCACAGAGCGCAGCCCAGATCACAGTCTCCACACACAGGGGCTGCTAGTCACCTTGTAGATCACCTTCAGCAACTGATTAATTCATGGCAGGACTCAGCCATACAAATGCCTTTTACAGTTAGCTCTATCTGAAAGTTATCAACTCATCTTAAAAACAAACATATTCATATATGTTTAGAAATGCATAAAAAGAAGGGAAGGATAAGGTATCTCGAACTGTTAACAATATTGTATTAAAAAATAGCCAGCAGGAAGAAGTTCCAGAATCAGTCACAATTGACAAGGATTTCATGTTATCCTAGCAACAACCCTATGAAGCACATTCTATGATTCTCTCTATTTTACAGGTGAGGAAATGAGCTTCAAAGAGGGAAAGTAACTGACTGCTGTCCCTAACCAAATCCAGCTGCAACCCTGGGGTCTGACCTCCCGGGTCACCTGCCCACACAAAAGTTCCACCCATATAAGCACCTCACCCTTCCTCCCACAGCCATGCCCACCCACTTGCTGCACACCTGCACGAAGACGTAGAGGACAGCCAGAGGCAGGATGACCACAGCAAAGAGCGGCGTGCTGACCACAATGGCCACGAGGGTGGAGATGGAGTTGTAGAAGGAACCCAGCAGCGTGAGGAAGGTGGGGGCCAGAACCTCATCGATGACGTAGATGTCCTTGGAGAAGCGGTTGAGGATACGGCCCGAGGGCGTCGTGTCGAAGAAGGACTGTGGTGAGCGCATCTTGTTGTGCAGCAGCGCCTGGTGAAGCAGGCGTGCAGCCTGGACACTGCCCACCGCCATCGTGATGGCCGACAGCACCACCAGGAGCCCTGTTGGAGGAGGCAGAGGGGCGCTCACCCACCTGGGCCAGGTGGCAGGGATGCAGGGGCAGGTTCCAAGGCAGGGGACAGCCATGGTGAGCTAGGCAGCCTCCGGGGCAGGTGGACCACTAGGGAGGGTTAGCGAGGCACTGGGGCAGGGCAATGGCTATGATGGTGTAGGGGGACTCAGAGGTAACTACATGGTTCAGGGGACCTAGCAGCCCAGAGGTGAGAAAGGGGCCATTGGAGCCCCTTCCAGGTATCTCTGCAAGCTCACCTTGCAGAATTCCCAAAGCAGCATAGACACCCAGCCTCAGGGAGGTGTTGTTCTGTCGGCCATCCACCACAGCCTCATTGGTCCAGTCACTGAGCCATATGTTGGCCCCAATGGCAGCTGCACTTTGACCCGCATACAGCAGACAGATGGCCAGTGTGGTACAGCGCCCCACAGCCTTGGCATAATCCCAGAACAAGTTCAGCTTCACCTGCATGGCCATGGCGGTGAGGGACAGAGGACTCCTGTGAGACCCGGTACTGCCAGGAGCCTGCCCACCCTCTCCAGCTCCCCTTGATCACCCTACTCACCCTGCCCATCTCCACTTTCTCCTCTTCGATCAGCACTCCATTTGCCTTTGTTTCTGCTGCCTGTGCTTTATCTGCTAGACCCAGACGTCTGCGGGGCACAGTTCGACCCTGGCCCTCCCCTTCCGAGGACATGGCACTCAGCTGTCTGTAGAGGCAGCTGGTCAGGCCCAGAGAGGAGGCCTTTGACACACCCACAGAACAGAGCCCCAGGAGGAGGGTTTAGACCACAGGTGGAGGCCCAGGGTGTGAGGATCAGGAAGAATGCACCCCACCTGGCAGGTCTTGGGGAGCCCTGATGCAGCTTCCCAAGGGGCTGAGTACTCTCAAGAGCTCACCTCATGAACTGCTTCCGGACCTCATACATGGCTGACTCGTTATCCATCAGGTCTGTGTGGCTGCTGAGAGTGTCTTCAATCAGCAGCACCTCCTCATCGTCTGCATCCCCCAAGGCTGCCACGGGGTGAGAGGGAGGAGAGAGAGGTCAGCCAGCTCCCTGTAAGCACTTAGTATCCCCTATCCCTACACCAATGAAGGGGCCTGAATGGACAAGCATGAGATAAGATGAGAGGGGTTGAAAGGGCAGCAAAAACAATAAGGACAAAAAGAAATGACCAATTTTGGGTTGGGAAAAAGGGGGCAGCAAGAAAGACTTAGGTTAGACAAGAAGAAAACTTTCCCACCAGGAGAAGGGGACTCAATTATAAAGGTTAAGAGCTTGGGCTCTGAGTCAGACTGGCTGAGCTTAAATCCCTCTTCCTCGCTGCATTGACTTTAGGCAGGCATAGAACATGGGGATAATAATACCCGCTTCATCACATCATTGTGAGAATTAAAGGAACAAATGTGTGTCAAGTGCTTAGCAAGGAGCAGAGCACTTAGTAAATGCTCAAGATATGTTAGCTATACCGAAACCAGGAACAGGTCTGTGAGCCTGCCCAATTTGTGGGTGGGGAGCTGGGACTAGACAAGGGTGGGGTGTCTCATGAGCCCACGGACTTCAGTATGCTCCATGAGATTTTCTGTTTGTTCACTGTTTCATCCCAGTGCCTGGAATAGTGCCTGGTCATTTGGTCAATAAATATTTGTTGATGAATGAATGACATTTCCAAGCACTTGCATAGGTAACAATTTATCTATGAGACAGCCTTGCTGTACAAGCTGGGCCTCTGCCTTTATGCCCTTTCGGTATGTGGGAAAACCAAGGCTCTGAGAGCTGAACTGCTGACCCAAGGTCTCACATTGAGGATGAGAGGAGGAGGAAGGACTTGACTATATCCAGTTCCCTTTCCTTCTTGATGATGTCTGACCATCACAAGGAGGGTCCAAGTCCCCCAGAACCTCTCTTATACAACACTCAGCCTGTCCAGAGACACTCAAAGACCCCCAAGACAGGGGAGATGTTGCGAGGGCATAAAAATAGAGGGCCACGGATACCAGTCCTGCTGTCCTCTTCCAGGTGCTCCTCGCCATTATCAGGTGCATAGTTGTGGAGGAAGTTGGCAAAGGAGCCATTGCGCTGCAGGAGGGCTGGATAGGTGCCCACCTCAGACACCTGTCCGTCAGCTAGCACTATGATGAAGTCTGTCTGGGGCAGGAAGCTGATGCCGTGCGTCACCAATACCCGTGTCTGGGGAGAAGGCAGCACAGGTACAGAGCCACAGAGTGAGCATGAGGCACCCATGTGCCAGGGAGCATGGACAAGCACTTCAGGGGTGTACCCCATGCTTACCGCAGCTGGCTCAGTGCCCCGGGCTGTGCCCCCAGCATGGGTTTCCCCTGCTGCCCATCCCACACTCCTGCTTCTCAGACTCCCACACGTCCAGGTCTCACCCAAACCCTATGGCCATCAGTTCTTTCCTAGGGCCCTACATCTCACCTTAGCCCCCTTAGCCTCCTGGAGGCCTCACCTTGCCTGCCAGCACACCTTCTGGCCCGATGACTTGGTCAAAGATATGCTTGGCCACGTGCGAGTCCACAGCTGATAGTGGGTCATCCAGCAAAAAAATGTCAGCGTTACTGTAAACAGCTCGGGCCAGACTGACCCGCTGCCGCTGGCCCCCAGACAGGTTAATGCCCTGGATGGAGGAGGGAGGTAGGAAGTGGGTACAGGGTAGACAGACACGAGGGGGATAAGGACCCTGTCCATTGTCATTCAGCAAGGCAGACTTCTAAATTCACATGTCATATGCCTGGGTCCTGTCCTTGTGAAGCTGTAAGCCCACGGAAGGAGAATGGTGGTTCTCAGTGTACTCCGGGGGCAGGTGAGGACATCCTGCTGCCTTTGCTTCATCACCCTGCCCAGCTGGCTTCCCTGCCTGCTACCTTTGTACTCCGGAAGACTGGAAATTCCCTCAATATACCTTTTAATCTTCCATCACCCATAGAGTTTGCAGGTGACTTTCATAACAATTATCTCATTTGATCCTCGTATCAGTCCTTCCAGGGAGGTATCATTAGCCCCGTTTTCTAGATGAAGAAATTAAAGCCCAGGTGTAAATGGCTTTGTCCAAGGTCCAGAACTATTAAGGGCACAAGCAAGGACGGAAAACCAGCATCAACCCCAGAATTCATCAGCTCTGAGATCAGGTGCTAGAGGGGAGGTAAGATCTCTCCTTAAACTCATCATGGGGAAACTGAGGCACATAGCAGCAGAGCTGGGCCCAGAGGGCGGACGCTAGAGATATAGCTTGCTTTCCTACCATCAGTTTCCTATTCCCTCTGCAATATGGGGTACCCTGAGAAATTGAACCCAGGGGAGAATAAATGTGAGATGGGAGCTGGAGCTCCTGGGGAGAAGCAAGTGTAGTGACTGAAGCATGTAGGCATGCCTTCATTCAACCAACTAGTCTTTCTTGAGGGCCTACTATGTGCTAGACACAAAATTAGGTTTGTGTGTGTGTGAGATCCAAAAGAGATGGGAAGGAGTTGGGTCATAGATGGGGAGTTATTCTCTTGGTTCCTATAACCCCAGAATCCTACCTAAAAGTTCCCCATTCCCATGGCTCAGGCTCAGGCCCCCATGTCCCCAGACCACTGTGAGAGCCTCCTCACTGGGTCCTGTGACTTTGGGCCCCTCCATGCTAAGGCTTTTCAGCTGCTCCTATTTAAAATCCTTCACTGGCATATTGAATATCAAGATAAATAACAATGGTAATGGATTATAACCCACTGAATCAAATAAGAATCCATGAGCCCATGCTGATAAAAAAATATTACTGAAAAGTAAAAAAGGGGAAAAGAAGAGAAAGTTCTTTCTTAGAGTAAAATGCCAACTAATCACTACAGAAGGAATGAAGTTAGAAAATTACCATTTGGCAAACATCATAGTAAACATTGACTCAGGTAAGAGTCATCAGTGAATGTTACAAAATAAAATCATCCATGAAAGACACTACCTCAATCAAGTGACCCAAGCTAACATTGTCAATAAGGCACAAATTGACACCTTGTGCCTTCAGGTAGGAAGCACCAAGAAGGATACATTACTTTTTAGGCATTTCCCAAAAAAACATGTAATCCAGGTCTAATTGTGTTCAAATTGAGAGACATTCTACAAAATAAAATGGCCTGTACTATTCAAAATGTCAAGGTCCTAAAAGACAAAGACCGAGGAGTTACCCAGATTGATAGAGAATAAAGACATATTACAAGTAAATGCAACTCATGATCCTGGACTGGATCCTAGATCAAGACAGAAAACAGCTAAAAAAAGACATTATTGGGACAAATGATGACATTAAAATACAGACTGTGAATTACATAATAATATTGAATCAATGTTAAATTTCTTGATTTTGATAATTCAACTATAGTTATATAAGAGAATGTCATTGTTTTGAGGGAATACACACTAAAATCTTTAGTATTAAAAAAAAGAGCTAAAACTACAAAACTTTTAGAAGAAATCATAGGGGATGAGTTTCATGACATTGGATTTGGCAATGACTTTTTGGATACAACACCAAAAGCACAGGCAACAAAAGTAAAAATAGATAAATTGAATCACATCAAAATTAAAAACTTCTGTGCATCAAAGCACACCATCAACAGAGTGAAAAGGCAACCTTCAGAATAGGAGAAAATATTTGCAACTCATAGATCTGATAAGAGATTAATATCCAGTACAGTAAGTCCTCAGTTACCATAAGTCATTGATAAGTTCTGCAACTTTAAGCTAAAAGACAAATAATGAAACCAATTTTACCATAGGCTAACTGATATAAACAAGAGTTAAGTTCCTACAGCATGTCATCAACATTATAACAAAACAATGTTGAATAAAATAATGCTCTTCGAGGAGTTGCTTTATACAAAAAGAACTCACACAACTCAACAACAAAAGAAACAACTTGATCAAAAAATTGGTAGAGGACTCAAACAGACATTTCTCTAAAAAAGATATACAAATGGCCAGCAAGCACATGAAAAGATGCTCAACATCATTAATCATTAGGGAAATGCAAATCCAAACCTCAATCAGATATCATGTCACACCCATTAGAATGGCTAGTATCAAAAACCAAAACCACAACCCCCTTCCAAAAGCCACACATCCTGGTGTGTGGCCAGGATGTGTAGAAGTAGTTGGAACCCCTGTGCATTGTTGGTGGAATGTAAAATGGTACAGCCGTTATGGAAAACAATATGGCAATTCCTCAAAAAATAAAAAAAATAGAATTACTGTATTATCTAGCATTTCCACTTCTGGGTATATGCTCAAAAGAACCAAAGGTAGGGTCTTGAAGAAATATTTGCACACCCATGTTCATAGCAGTGTTATTCACAATAGCTAAAAGGTGGAGCAACCCAAGTGTCCACCGACAGGTGAGTGGATAGACAAAACGTGATATATACATACAATGGAATATTATCCAGCCTTTAAAAGGAAAGAAAATTTGATACATGCTATAACATGGATGAACCTTGAGTATATTATGCTAAGTAAAATAAGCCAGTCACAAAAAAAGCCAGATACTGTATCATTTCTTTTAAGTGAAGTACCTGGAGGGGTCAAATGCATAGAGACAGGAAGTAAAACGATGGTTGCCAAGGACTGGGGGAAGAGGAGAATGAGGAGTGGTTGTTAAATGGGCACAGAGTTTTAGTTTTGCAAGATGAAAAGACTTTTAGAGAATAGTTGCACAACATTGTGAACGTACTTAACACTCCTGAGCTGTACACTTAAAAATGGTGACGAAGGTAAATTTTACGTTATGTATATGTTGCAACAATTAAGAATAAATACATGAACTAAAAAAAACAAAAACTTTCACTGATGTCTTATGGTCTTTAGGGTAAAGGCCAAAACCTTAACCAAAGTCTTCAAACCGCTACCTTGCCCTGTACTCTCCCCGCCCCTTCCTAACCAATCCACCCACCATTCCTCAGTGCGCACCTTCATAGGCTTTTTCCATCACTCAGGAGTGATGGAAGCCACAGTTCTTACAGTGGCCTGCGAGGCCCTATGTGACCTGGCTGCCTGGACACCTCCCTGGCCTCATCTCCTCCTCCTCACCCCTGCTCACTCCACTCCAGCCACACGGGCCTCCTTGCTGATCCTTAAGTGCCCCAATCACACTCCTGCCTCAGGGGCTTTGCACTTGCTGCTCTCTGCCTCTAAGGCCTTTCCCCCAGACAGGGCTCCATGTTCCCAGACAGGGCTAACTCCCTTCCCTTTGTTCAGGTGAGGCTTTGCCAAGGCACTCTAACAATACAGTCCAGTACATCTTCCTATATCCCTTCCCTGTTTCACTCTTTCCCCCTTAGGATTTATCTATAATGTATATTTTACTTCTTTATCTTGCTGATCATCTTTCTCTGACTAGAATGTAAGCTATACAAAGGCAGAGATTTTAGTCTAGTGTAGTCATTATTATATAATATTGCCTGGCATATAGCAGGTATGTAATAAAGTCTGATGAATGAATGAATGAATGAATAAATGATTAACTCTTCTTCCTCAGCCGTTAAGATTCAGCTCAAAAGTGAGGCTTTTCCTTATGCAGACTCCCCCCTCACTGCCCTTCCCATACCCTGCACAGGCCTCCAGCCCCTACATGTTCACAAGTTGGCCTCCCTCAGTAACAGATCTGTTTTCCCAGTGCCTGGCACAGAGCTGCGCATGTTACATGAATCTGTGAATTAATGCATGCATGAATGAATATATGGACCTGGGCTGGGTTAAGGTGAGCAGCTGACCCCCCCCCCAGAGGATGGGAGGGGACCAGGTACCTTCTCTCCAATCTCTGTCTGGTCCCCACCAGGCAGCACTTCCAGGTCAGCTAGCAGGGCACAGGCCTCCAGAGCCTTTTGGTAGCGCTTAGGGTCCAGGGCTTGTCCAAACAGCACATTTTCCTGAAGAGTGCGGTTCTGAATCCACGCCTGCTGGGGCACGTAGGCCACGGAGCCCTGGCCACAGGAGAATCCCACAGTTACCTTGGGGTTTGCGACCTTTCCTTCCCAGGCGTCCTTACCCCTCTCACCTTCATATACACCTTGCCTTCCAGCTTCTCCATCTCTCCCAGCAGGGCAGACACCAGGGAGGTCTTCCCACTGCCCACGGGCCCCACCACGGCCACCAGTGCCCCTTTTTGCACTTGGATGTCTAGGCTGGGGACAGGGAAATCAGGAGCCCAGTCAAAAACAAAGATCAGGTTTTTAGTCCCCAGCCTTCCACCTGGAGACCCAAGCCATGCTCCCTTCCAGATAACCACCCTGGCATGTGAGGCTCTTCTGTCTTTCCAGGCTAATGACTGGAGGGTGAGGATCGGGGGCAGGTTCTGCTATGGATCTGACATTCGGCCCCCTTTGGGCATCTGAGAAGGGGTGGGAGAAGTTGGTACCTGTGCAGGGTCGGGGGCAGGTCCTTGGCCCAGGTAAAGGTGCCACTGTCTATGATGATGGCATAGCCTGGAAGGGTCAAGGTGTACAGGGTCAGGGGGGCGCCCACAACAAAGGGGAGAGGGACCCTGGGGGAAGGGGCTAAGGCGAGAAGGCAGGGAAGCTTGGGGGGCAGGGAGAAAGGGCAGGAAGTCCTGGGGCAGGAGAAGCCCTAGGGAAGGAGGGACAGTGGGGGAGGCCTGGGAAGGAGTGAAGGAGAAGAGGACAGAAAGCTGGAAAACGGAGAAGGTGGGCATAAAGAGGAAGAAGAAAAGGGGTCACAAGGGAAAAGTTAAAAGCTTGGAACAAGGATTTTCTGTAGCAGGAGCTGTAGCAAGGGCAGCCCAGGTAGGGGTGTCTGGACCTGGAGTGATGCTCTTTCTTTCCACACACTGGGGGTCAATTTCATCTTGGTTCAGGAAATGCTGGATCCGTTTCAGAGACACGCTGGTCTGCAAGAGGGTGTGAGTCATCCTGGAAGCTGTGCCTTTTCTGTCCCACTCCCTCCAAACTTACCTGGGTGAGGTAGGGCCCCCTGAAGGCCCAGACACAGGTTCTGGGGCCCCTCCTGTGACTGAGTCTTCCCCGGCTCCCACGGCCAAAGACAGGGTCCAGATTGGTAAAAAGAGGCTGTCTCCAGAACTCAGGCTTCCATGGACCCCACCTGACCTTCTCGGGCCCCAAATGACCACTGATTCTAATGACCTCATGCAACTTTGAATAATTCTTCATAACGCCAGGTGGCCCTCTCCTGATTCTAGTAACTCTTCTTGATTATCCCTGACCCTAAGTGACCCCAACAACCTGCCCTCACTCTAGCAGAACCTCCAGCTACACCTGGGATTACCTGGGTCAGGTGGCTGATCACAAGGGGCAGCATAGTGAGGGGGTTCTTCAAGATATTGAACAGGGACACAGACACAAAGGCCTTCTCGGCGTCCAGCACGTTGTTCGGGTCCACGGACACGTACACACCGAGGGTGATGAGGGTCACCTGGGCAGCAGCGGGGGTGGGTGTCAGGGTGGAGTCTACTGGGCCCAGAGGCCTGGGCTGGCCAGGCTGGAGGCCAGCCCCAGAGGAGGAGCCTCACCAGGAAGGGAGTGCAGATCCAGATGAAGATGGTCATGGCGTGAAGGTAGGAGCTACGGCGCAGCAGTCTGAGCTCATCTTGTCGAATGCCCTCCACCTGCCGTAAGAAGCTGGGCTCCCAGGCATATAGTTTCAGCAACTTGATGCCACCCAGGATCTCACTCATCAGCTTGATGCGGGAGTCCTTGAACTTCATTTGTTCCACCTGTGGAAAGATTAGCATTGGCATGCTCCACTCCCCTCCCCAGACCCACAGGAGCTCACCTTCCATGCTCTGGCACATACTGCAGCTATTTAGGTTGCTCACCATCCTTCCTCCCTGCTGGGCCAGTGCTGTGTCTCAGCCTGGAATGCCCCACCCAGCCTCCCCTCTCAAACCTTCCCGCCCCCAACAAAATCCAGCTCCAACCTCAGTGCCAATGGCACAGTCCCTCCCAGGCAGCATCCTCTGCCCCGTTCCCTGGGTTTCTAAGGCACATTGTACTTTCTTTTTGTCCCCAGAGCAATCCGTGTATGGATTCTTCCCCAATTGGACCGCCAGCCTCCTGACCCTAATCCAGGGTGTAGCATGCCAAATTAATTTATTCATTTAACCCCTATTTATTGAGTGTCACTATGTGCCAGGCCATGTGCTAGATTTAGACATAGGGCAGATAATGATGAAAAACTCAAACAAGGCCCTGGCCATCATGAAGCTGACAGTCTGATGGGGGAGGCAGATAGGAAGCAAACAATTACCCGAACACACGCTTAATAAATTAGCATGCGTACTCTAAAGAGAAACAACAGGATTCTGTGAGAGTCTGGGAAATCAGTGTTTATGTTGGAAGATGGGGGAAGGGAAGGAGTTGAGCAAGCAAAGAAGGGAGGGAGAGCATTCCAGGAAACTGTGTATGGTGGCCCAGGGGTACCCAGAGCTTGGTGCTTTGGGGAAAAGGAAAGCCAAGTTGGCTGAAATTTGGCCACATCTTAGGGGGTGAGTGTTTGCAAGATGAGCAGGGGCTTTGTCATTTATTCTCCGTGCAGTGGGAAGCTGCTAAAAACTTCGATAAATGTGTGCAAATAAAGGACTGGACGACTGCCTATTTACACTCAACACAGTATGGCAGGAGAAACCCTCATTAGACCAGAAGACGTCGTCTGATTCTGCCTGATTCTAGACTGCCATAATCTCTTTGGGCCTTGGTACCTCTGCTGCAAAATAAGAACATGTCTAAAACCCTTTCAGGGTTGTTGTGAGGATAGAGCGAACTAAAGGTTTGTGAAAGTGGCTGTTAGCCATCCATACTCAGTAAGCAAGGTCACTGAGGGGCCCCAGGTTAGTGAATGTCTTTCCAGGCAGGAGCAGTGCACCTGTGATATCACCCACCTGGAAAGTACGCATCTTGATGGCCACAGCTCCATTGAGTGGGATCAGCAAGATCATGAGAGCAACTCCAGCCAGAACGGAGGGACCCAGGTTCTAAGGAGGCACAGGTGGATAGATAAGACAGAGAGATAACCAAAGTGTATACATAACAGAATCCAACAGACAAACACGGGCTTATTGATCTGAAACATGGAGATGGGCAGGAAACAATAGATGGTGGTCAGCCATGTAGACAAAGAAAAGCAGACATACTGACGAAAAGCCAAAATGACAAAAAAATTTGCAGAAGCAGCCTGCCATCAGATATTGACAACAGATAAGGACAAACAGCAGACATGGAAGGGTGCCCAGACACACAGGAAGGCAAATACAGACAGACAGACAGACAGACAGACAGTGACAACCCATCACACCCACCCTGCAACCTAGTCCCTCTTTCCCCCCCTGAGATCTTCGAGAAGGATAATCGCCCAGGCTGGAAAGACTCCAGCATCCTCGCAGTCATGTCCCCCAACCCCAATATCTAGGGAAACACTTGTGTCCATTCTGTAGCCCCTCCGCTGACCCAGAATAACCCTCTCTTGTCCCTTCTCAGCAAAGTCAAGGTCAGAGGAAGGGGGCAGAGGTCAGGGTGTAAGAGTCACCTGCCAGAGGAAGTAGATTGCCAGTATGATCTGCAGAGGTGTTGACCACAGCAGGTTGAGAAAGGGGGCAAGGTCCATGAAGCGCTGGGCATCCACAGACATGAAGTTGACCATTTCTCCCACAGTGGACTCACGTTTGACTGAGCTGGTGATAACCAGAGCCTGCAGGTGGACAGCAAGTGATGTTCTGGGACTGTTCTGAGAGCCTCTCCAAAGCTCCCCAAGGCCAGCCTCCCCGCTCTGCGCCTCGTTCCAGCTAACCTTCCTGTAGATGACACCTATGATCCCCGTACGAAGTCTCAATCCCATCGCAAACATGCAGTGGTAATACTGGTGTAAGATCACAGTCTGCATCAAGGAGCACACGAACATCAGCCCGGCTACCAGGAAGCCCCACCAGGTGGGGGCCATGGGGTTTGAAATAAATCTGATCAGGATGCTGCAAGGGCAGGAGAGAGGCATGAAAGTGGGGAGGGCTACCCAGGCCGTTCCCTCTACCGCTGCCCCCGCTTTCACCCGCAGCCTCCACTCTGCCCCCATCCCTGAAACCTCTCAGGTCAGGGATGCTGGCCCTCCACTCCCCCAACCAGACCAAGGGGACTCAGCCCAGTGTTGCCTCAAGACCACGAACCTCCATCCTCGCCCCCTTTCACCTTCACCTCCTTTTCTATCTACTGTGGCCCCCACCGCCCAATCCTATCACTTTCACCACCAGCCTCACCTTCCTACCTTTCTTGCTTCCTTGGATCACATGGCAGGAAGTAATACCACATGTTCCTTGATTCAGCTTTCCTACATCTTCCCTTGAGCTACTGAGGGCTCAGAGCCCACTGCATGAACACAGACTCTTGTCCCTGAAATCCATTCTCTCCAACATCAGTTGGCCCCAGCGCTGCCCAGTGACCTTTGCCAGGCTCCTAGTCCACCTCCTCTCCCACAGCCCTCTTTCCCTCTTCTCTTACCTTTTGACCCGTCCCCACTCCCTGCCCTTCTCAGCAGCTACCCACTTAAGTCTTCCCATTAAACATCCACTGAGAACTCCCTCCCAACACTTGCCCTCTTCCCTTTCTCTTCCTTCAGGAGAGGTGTCCCTCCGGCTTTCCGAGCCTGATCCTGTCTCCCTGAGCCCTGGATCCCATTCAACTCCTCAGGTACATGCTCCATAATTGCTCCCCCGCCCCCCGCATCCCGATCTTCAATAGCTTCATCTCTGCTGGCAGCGCTGTACCTTCTCCTGTTGACATGAGCAAGTCTAGTTCATGTTAGCACAAACCTCCCCTCTACCTCCATACTCATAGCCAGGCCTCTCCTGCTGTGGGTTGAGCGTGTCTCCCAGAAAGGTATGTTCAAGTCCTAACCCCTAGTACCTGTGAATGTGACCTTATTTGGAAATAGGGTCTTTACAGATATAATCAAGAAGAAGTCACATTGGAGTAGGGAGGGCCCTAATCCAATGATGGTGTCTTTATAAGACAGGAAAGGGAGATTTGCACACAGAGAGGCCGATGCACATGCGCGCGCACACACACACACACACACACACACACACACACACACACAGAGGCCATGTGAAGATGGAGGCAGAGACTGGAGTGATGCATCTACTCCAAAGCTTAGGAATGCCCAGGATTGCAGGCAAACACCAGAAGCTAGGAGACATGGAAGAGATTCTCATTCAGAGCCTCTAGAAGGCACCAACCCCATCAACCCCTTCATCACAGACTTCTGGCCTCCAGAACTTGAGAGAATAAATCTCCGTTGTTTTAAGCCACAAAGTTTGTGGTGATTTGTTACAGCAGCCACAGGAAACTAATACACCTTTCTTTACTGGAAGTGCCTAGACCTTCATGGTCTCTGTCTCTACTGCAGATGCCCCACTCTCAGGCCCTTCCCCTTTGTCTCAGCCTCTGTTTTTGGAAGTCACTAACAAACCCCACGTTGCCTTCCTCAGACTCTGTTTTATCAGCCATCTTGTTTCACTAGAGGCCATGCCTTGTCCTGGAAGTGCTCTCTGTTCCTGCATCTCTGGACCCTCCAAGCCAGGCTTCTGTTTACCCCTTACCTGTCAGAATTCCCTAGGGCTCTGTTTAGCACCTCTGCATGGACTCTCTGGCAAAGCTTAGCCACAGATATGAAACCCTGGGCTTCCACCCAATGCCTCTGAAAATGTGATCTCTAGCTAGCTGGGAGTCATACCTTGGGGGTGCCCACCAGCACCTTAGGCCCAATGTGGCCAAGACTCCACTCACCACCTTGCCCTGTGCACAATGCCTTCCTCCCACTGAGGTCATCATCTTGCAGAAAGATCTATCACCCTCCAGTTACACAGGCCAGAACCCAGTCACCCTTGATCCCTCCCCCTTCCTGGCACACGCTTCCATCTCCTGAGGAGCTTCTGAATCCTATCTCATTCCTGGCCTGGACTCTCGTCTGCCCTGGTTGGCCCACTTCCATCTGGCCACCTGTCCTACATCACCCACACTACTGGCAGGGAATCCTTCCAAAATGCAAACCAGACGCCCCTCCCTGGCTGCAAACCTTTCAAGGATTTCCTTAGCTCTCCCCCTCTCCCTTCATTTTTTTTCTGCCTCTCCCTCTGGCCACACTCTCCTCTAGCATTCAGAAATACCCGGAGTTCCTGAGACATGCTGTCTCAGGCCTTCGTGACTGCCTAGGCTGCACCTTCCTCTCCTTCCTCACCTGGTTAACTCACTCCTGCTGTCCTTCCAAACTTGACAACCTCCCTGGCTGGCAGGTGGACCCTGCTTTTTCCCAAGCTGGCTTCTTTATCCCTCCCAGTGTTGTCCAGACACCTGAGTACACCTCTGCCTGCACTGTACTCTAATGGATTTATACATTGGTTTCCCCCACAAGACTTTAAGACTATATCTTATTTATCTCTGTATCCCTAGCATCTGGCACCATTTTGGTACCCTGGGGCTCCATAAATATTCATTAAATGAATGCATGCATGAATGCAGGGGCAAAAGGCCGGAGGCTCAGCTGCTAGGCAGCTCTCCTTCCCAGCCTCTCATCTGAGAGCTCCTTCAAGTCCAAGCCGTTCATGTGACCGATGATGGAGCCTATCAGGTGGAAAGAGCACTGTAGCTGGAGTTCAAATCCATCTTTATCAGCTGTGTGCCTTTGGGCAAGTCATTTCACTTCTCTGAGTTTCTGCTTCCTCGCTTGTTTGTTTGGTGGTTGTTGTTTTTCATTTCGTTTTTCAGCTTTCTCATTTGTAAAATGTTGGGAGCTGGCTGGGATCAGTCAGGGACACTGAGGCTTTAGGTTGGCAAGCTTGGGTCTCCAGGTAGATACAGGCCTGGGGTGAGCGGCCTTGGAGAAGTTTGGTGGGGACCTGTGGGACAGTGCTTCTGCCTTAAACTGCTTCCAGGTAACGCAAGTGCGAAGAGTAAAGACCCCAGCTTGCTGATAGGAAAAGCTTGTGGACTAAGGGACTCAGTTGCTCATGGACTATGAACTTCCGGCTTCAACATACATCACCACTCTGGGACTTTCCACCACTCACCTGATTCACATACTTGGGACTTTCTACTGTGGACTTGTAGACAGTTTCTATTTGCCTCAGTTTAACCTTGCCTAGCTATATCATTGGTTTATATTGTGTATAACATAGCTTGTTGATGAGGAGAAATTCTTTCTCCTCAGCCCATGAGTTTTAGCTTTAGGGAATCGCTCCCTAAAATGAGAAAATTGCTTCCCCTTAAGAATCTTGTATACCCAATAAACGAGGTCTCAGTTTTGCAACCGGCAGACTGAGTCCCTCCTGTCCCCGCACTTTGTCTCTCTTTTATTTCTCGTCTCCCTCCCTGTCCTCTCAGGGACCCGTTTGGTGAGCTCCTGGCTGATGTGCCAGGGACATTCAGTTGAGCGAGCTGGTCTCGATCAGTAAAATGGGCATAGGGCCACCTCTCTATCGGATTAAAGAGAGAATGTTTGTTAACACATCCATCAGGGAGCCTGGCCCAGAGTGTGTATCTGGTAAATATAAGCTGGATATGAAGGGGGAAACTGAGGTGCAGAGGCACCGCCACTGCCTCTGAAAGAGGGCACACAGAAAGTGGGGAGAGCCCCTTCGGTTCCTGGCCTGGGGCTCTTTTCACTACACGTTGTCCCTTCCTCTGGGCATAGGCCTCAGGGACAGCCGGCCAGCCCCCCTGCCCAGGGAAGGGCCACAGCAAGGAGTGTGGTGAGACCTGAGCAGCTGTGGATTGACGAAGGAGAGCAGGTCCTGGGTCAACATGAAGCACATGCTGAGGAGAAAGGTGGGGCCAAAGGTGGACAGCAGGGCCTGCAGGAAGGAGGCCTCCCGGGGCCTGGGCCGGTCCCCCAGCAGCTCCTCATCCTCACTGGAGACTGTCTTCCCAGATGCCACCGCGGCCTTGTGTCTGGTCCAGGAGGAAGGAGCAGTGAGTAGGAATAGGCACAGGGGTCCCATGAAACCAAATGCTAGGGAGCAGTAGAGAGGAGAGGGGAGATGCTTTCTGGGCTCTCAGGACTGGGGGAGGGGGGGGGAGATGGACTTTCCAGGTGCTAGAGGGCATATGAGGGGTGCCTTAACTGCTCCCCAAGGAGTATAACCCAGCAATGCCCAGCCTCTGGCCTGCCTATGTCCCCAGGGAGGATGCTGAGAGGGAAGGGACACGTGGGCAGGGGAAGCTAGTGGCCTAGCCACCAGGGAGCTGAGCAGGGAGTGGGTAGAGGTGGTATGGAGGGACAGAGAAGGGGTGCCCAGGCCAACTGGGGGACCGTAGGAAGCCATGGAACTCAAGACACTGCTGACAACGCCCAAGTCACTTGCTCCTCTGACAGCCAGTCAGCCCCTGACTGAACGAACACCGCGCTCCTGGCTGTGGCAGTGGGGGAAGGCGGTTCAGTCCTGGGGTCAGAAGTGGGTAGGTTAGGAGGGTTGGGAGTTCCAGCTCTCCTGACTGGGAAGTTGGCCGGAGACAGGTTTCTCCACAACAGGAGACGGCCAGTCTCAGCTGGAGGGTCATCCTCTCCAGCCCCTGCCTCCAGACAGGAGGAAGCAGGACTGAGAGGAGAGGCCGGCCTCCGACTTCTCCCCCAGCCCTTCCTGAGGGAAGTTCCTAGACTCTACCCTTCAAGTCGGGCAGGGTGGTGCAGTGGTAAGAGCAGTAGGGCCAGACAGGGGGGTGTGGATTCCGGCTCTACCACCACCAACTAGGGGACCTTGGGCGCGTCATTAAACCTCTGTGCCTCAGTGTCCCAATCTGTAACATAGGGGATAGTAGAACTTACACCATAGGGCAAGTTGGAGGTTGAGCTAATCTACGTGCTCAGGGCTGTGCCCAGGGTAGAGTAAGTATTCCGAAAGGGGCAGCCATTCTCTGGCTTCAGGAAAGTGGAGGAGAGCTGGTCTCAGGTCCCACCTCAGGGCCACCTGCACCTGCTCTTCTACCGACCGACACCCAGCCATGTGACCATCTCAGGTCAACCAGCCTCCCCTTCGGGAGACCTGGGTGCGTGAAGGGGCCGGGTGGAGGGGCGTGGGGACTGGAGGACCTCACCGTGCTGCCTGCTTTTGATGCTTCTTCCAGGCCTCCAGCAGCCTCTGCACCACCACCTCAGAGTGATCCTCCCTGTTCAGGGACCAGAGGTCCTCTTCCTCCAGGGGACGCCGGTAGCCGAGGATGGCCATCCTGAGGCAGACAGATGGCCCCACATAGGGTCAGCATTTAGCAGCCAGAAGCCAGGACCAGGGTCTCCAGAAAGGAGGCGCTCCCTGGGGTGCTTTGGTCAAGGGAGCTGTCTCCTTTACTGCCACAGTGAACAGGCTGGAGGTCACTGCCTCCCACCCCAAGCTCCTACCTCAGGCCCCTTCTTTCTCTCCCCGCCAGAGGCCCCATTGACTCCTGGGGCCTGGTGATGAACTGCATGCTGGCTAGGGCCCCGGGTGAGGACAAAGCCAGGTGCATGGAGCCCCAGCCTTAGGTGCCTCTTCCGTGCAGCACAGTTAATAAGCTGTCACCCAGGTCACAGACACAATTATCCAGCTCAAGCTGCTTTGAGGGGTGGCCAAGGATATGACAAGCTGCAAGCTTATCCAAGACAGAAAAGCTTGGAACTAATTACGGTTTCTCTCCAGTCCCTGAGCCTGTCCCCACCGGCTGGCAGATGCAGAGCTGGCCTACGGCCTGGGATCAGAGCTGGGCCAGACCTGGCCTTTGCACTCAGCCCTCAGCCCGGACAGGTTTCACCATCCGCACCTGCCCCGTGCCTGCTAGGGCGAGGGTTTGGAGTAGGAGGGTCAGCCTGGCCCTGTTTCTCAGGCCCCTGAACCTTCAGCCTGCTCCTCTTCCTCCCTCTTACCCCCTATCTCCCCGCCCTCCTCCCTCTGGCCCAGGATGGAGAGAGGAAAAGCCAACTCACTTTGTGAACCACGAGAAAAACAGACGGGAGAGGAAGCCAGCGTTGGCCTCTGGGCAGGGGTTCTAGAAGGTGAGAGTGGGATCGGGGAAATCAGAAGTGCTCACCACCCTCTCAAGGCGGATTAGAAGAAGGAGGCCCCCACACCTCCCAGCTCCAAGCCCCAGGTCACACACTGTGGAGATGACCTGGGGATGGAAGGGATGAACCGGAAGGGATGCGGGGTGCTGGTAAGGGCGAGCTGAGGACTGGGCGTGGAACCGCAGCTACCACCCGGCCTCCACGGAAAACTCACAGGGTCGGCATTTTTGGGGGAGAAAAACGGTGGCTTTTCCCTGAAGCAGGACAAGATGAAGGCAAGGAGCACCAGGGCAAAGTAGATGTAGAAGGTGGTGAAGCGGAAGGGGTCCAAGATCTTGCCCTGGGGGGATAACAGGGAGGAACATCAGAATGTCAGGCTCCTCCAGGGTAGGAGGTGGTCCCCAAGGGCACCTGCGTCCCTTACCCAGAGGGTTCTGAGAGAGGGGAAGGGTCACAAAGGGGCGGCTGTAAGGGCTTGCCCTGCACCAGGCATTGTGCCAAGCACCTAACCTGCATCACCATGTCCAACTCTCCTGACAAGGAAATCTATGACACCTGGTTTGCAAATGACGCAATGAGGCTCCAAAAGGCTAAGAAATTTGCCCAAGGTCACACAGAGAATAAGAGGATGATTCCATGCCTTACGAATATACTTGACTGTCTCCCCTTGAGATGGAGAAACGGGGAGATGCTAGATTGACCCTCCACGTTCCTACCACTACCCCATCACCACCACCAAAGATCAAGAGGAAGGGCAGGAATTGAGGAAGGTGGGAAGAACAAAATCATGGGACTTCCAGGTAAAGCCAGAACTACACATGCTTGTTTGCAATGTGTTCATTACACAGACGTTAGCAGACACCCCTGTCAGATACTGCAGTTGGTGGTGGTGGCGGCCACAAAACAGCCCCCTGCACTCCTACAAATACCCAACAATGACTCCATTCTCCTGATTTACGCAAGTCCTCAGCCCCTCACTCCACCCCCCACTAGTCTGCTTCCAGCAGAGATACAGCAAGTAAGAACAACACAAAAAGGACTAAACCACAGAGGAGGTCCTGGGAGCCAGGGAGGGGTGGAGGAGAGGAGCCTGAGACCCAGCAGTGACCTTGAGCCCTGAGGTCACCCCCTAGACAGGGCTGGACCAGGCAGGTGCCCCTTGCCCCTTACCTTTTCCACAGCTGAAAGGATCTTGGAGCGGAAGGGGATGATGGCGCAGACCACACACAGGAACCAGAAGATGATGAGGACCCCTGAGGACTGCACCCCCTGTAGCCGCTCATACTGGATCAGCAGGGTGGCCAGCAGCTGTGCAGGGAGGGCACAGAGGCTGGGCCAGAGCACACACACACACCTGGACCTACCTCCGTTCCTCTCCATCCCATGTGGCCAGATGTTTCTGGGGTCACCCCCATCCTCTTCCCACTGCTAAAGCATCCAGCCTTCTCCTCAGAGCCCATGGTTTCCCCACTGCAATCCCCAAACCCACTGGAGACCTTCTCCCACTCAGCTTCCCCGGCCCCACACTGACCATGGTGACCCCCACCACCAAGGGGGTGACAAAGAAGACAGGAGCAGGGGCCCAGCCATGGACCAGGCCATGGAAGGAGTAGAAGAGCTCAGCCCAGGAGACGCACCACAGCAGGACACCCAAGACCTACAAACAGGGCACATGTTGGAGCCTCCATCCTGAGGTAGGGACAGTCCCTTTTTGTTCCTGAAGCCACCAGACCTGCCAGAGCCTGGCTCTGAGGGCTGTGCTGGGTGCTGGCCAGAAACTTCTTGAGGGTGGGAGAGGCTTGATGGAAAATTGGCTTGCACCTCTCCAAACAGAGACATCTCAGTTGGTTACAGACCCACCTCAGTTGGTTACATACCCACTTGGCAAGCTGCCATGGTGCCCAACACCAGGCAGTGAGGTTAGGGAACCCTGTCCAGCCACTGAGGGTGGGGAACCTCCCGCCAGGCCCCCGCCCCACCCGAAAGAGAGCCCTGAGCTCCTGACCGTCTTGAGCCTGGAGAGGTGCGAGAGGACAATGTAGCCTCGGCGGTGATGCCACAGGTAGAACAGGTAGCAGGGCAGGGCAGTCCACAGGTAGACGCAGGGGACCCAGGCCAGCAGGGAGTTCTGGAAGCAGGGGGTGAGGTCCGGGTGGTCTGTGTGCACTGACAGATTGGAGTCCTGGGGACAGAGGGAACAATTCAGAGCTGTGGCTGCCTCCTGCAGAATTGGGCTCTCCCTCAAGGGAGGTGGCTGGACCACAGAGACACTCCATGCACAACGGGGGTGAGAAGGTGTGTGAAGATGAGAGAGGGTAAGTGTGCAAAGCAGCATTTGTGAGTTGTGGACTCTGCTAGGAGGCTGTGGTTGCCCCCGTTTCCTCATTTCCTCATATTTTCTCTCTAACTGCGGTAGAATTCAAGTACAATAAACGGTACCCATTTAAAGTGCACAAGCCAAAAGTTGTACACACCTGCAAAACCACTCTCACAGTAAAGATAGAGAATATTTCCATCATTCCATGAGCTCCCTTGTGCTCCTTTACATTCCATCCCACCCAGGCAACCATTGATCTGCTCTCTGTCGTTCTAGATTTCTACTTATTTTTAAAATTAATTTTTTTTATTTTATCATAGTAATATATGCACAGGGCTGAACAGCCCACTTCCTCTCTAAGCCTCTCCCAGGAAGGGATAGGGAGCTCTCCTTTAAAACGGGGGAGGCCAACCCGCACTCCACCTACCTCGCTGGGTGGGTGTGAGCGCAAAGGAGCAAGGGGATATGGAGAGAGCTTTGTAAATCACCAAGCTCAGGGTGACCAACCGTCCTGGTTTGACTGTGTAGGACTGTCTTAGACACCAAAAGCCTGGTGTCCTGGGGAACCACTGAGTCCAGACAAGACCCCCTCTTGATGCTGACCATAACTCTTTTTGGAAAGAGATGCAGGAATACATTCAAACACATATTTTACTAAGATTGTTTCCTCCAAGACCATCAATCAACTAATTTTTTTCCCCCTTCCTGCAAAGAATTAGACAGCTCTACCTTTTTAAAACTGTGTGACACTAAATCTTGCTTCAAGGGTTAACATTGGGAGGATAACATCTCCCAGTTGGCCCTTTCCACTTGGCCCCTTGGCCATCCTCAGGCTCTCACCTCTCCCTAAGCAATTCCCATGGGATTCTGGTCTCTTTCTGTCCATGAAATGGTCTCTAGGGGCCCATATCCCTGTCCAAACTCTCCTGGTCTTCCCCTTCCTCCTTGGTCTTTCCTTCGAAGTCTCTTCACTGGTTCCCCCTCTTGGCATCAGAGTGCCCCAGGCTTCAGTCCTTTCCTCTTTTCCATCTGCTCTCACCCCCTTGGCAATCTCATCTAGTCTCATTTACATGCAACTCCGGCTTACCACTTTCCAAATCCCCAACTCAATATCCAGCTACCTACTGGACATCTCCACTTTACACACCCTACAAGAGCCTACAAGTGACACCTGTGCAGTGTCCTTTCCACTGACCTACGACCTCTCTCACTGCCTCTCCTGCATCACTCTAGCCAATTGACCTCCTTGCTGTCCCTGAACACACTGGGACCATTCCTGCCTCAGGGCCTTTGCACTTGCTGTTCTTTTTACCTGGAACACTCCTCCCTCAAGCATACTTAAATCCTCCTTTCTCAATGAGACCTACCCTGACCACCCCCAGCATTCCCAATCTACCCTCCTTACCCTCCCCTGCTTTTTCTTTTTCTCTGTAGTATCTATCACGGTCTAACGTGCTATATCATTTTCTAGTTTACTATATTTTTTCTCATCTCTTCCTGTTGGCATGTAAGTTCCTGGAAAGAAAGAATCTTTATTTCATTTATTGATGCATCCTAGGGACTATAAATACAGAGTACCTGGCACATAGTAGGTGCTCAGCAAAAATTTGCTTAAGTTAAATTCAATATTTGTTGAATAAATGAATGAATGGACAAAAGGATAATCTTATACCCTTCCTCTAAAGCTTCAGTGTCTCCCTACTGCCTAGAAGACAAAGTCCAAACATGGCACTATGGCTGTCAAGACCTCCAGCTGGACTTGACTTATCTATCTATGTGAACTAATGAACTATCGCTGATAGTTCTAATGAACTATATGCTTGAGTTCTCCCATCTTAAGAACACACTTCAGGGAGTGATCTGCAAACCCTACCTCCCTTTCCTCAACCTCCTTTTACTCTTTAATCCCATCCAGGTCAGCCCTGTGCCCTCCAGTGCCCCTGCCCACTGCTGCGAGATGACCTTCCCTGAAATGCAGCTTTGCGCCCCTTGTCTCAGGCCCACAAACCTGCAGAGGTCCCTGCTGCTTACGGAATCAAATCCAAGCACCCTACAGCCTTCTCTTCCCACCTCCCTTCCCACTGCTCCCTCCTCCTACTGCCAAACTCACTTCACTCTCCACTGGCTCTGAGACTCCCACTCCTACGCCTTTGCTCAACCTGGTCCCTCTTTCTTCCACTTACCAAAATCCTAACAACTACAGGGAAGGCATGGTGGGTCCCGCTGAGCATCTACTTCTTCCACCTCGAGTCCCCTTCCTCCTCTGAAGTCAGCACCTACTGAGAGAGCCCCTTCTTGGGAGCATCAGTCTTTCACCTGGCAATGCTTTGGTGAGGGCCTGCGATGAGTCAGGCCGTGGGTTGGGCACACCCAGGATAAACCTGTCCCTGACTGTGGGGACCACGCAGTCTAGGAACACACTGCTTCAGGACATGTCATTCAAGCCCCAGTGGGCAGAGGTTGTACATCTTGTCCTCTGGAGCCCTATATTCAGGAGCTGCTCAAGCAGTATGAGCTAAGGATCCACGACTCTTGCTGAGCCCCTGGCATGCTGGCCCCGGGGCTGGGCACTGGGTCACAGAGAGAGCTGGGTACCTCATTCGGCCTGGTCAGGCACCACAAAAGGAGGGCTGCCAACACAGCTAATCCAGGCCTGGCCCACGTTTTTTCATTTTTATTTTTTCCTGTTTTAAAACATTTCTTACTCAAGTATAATATACGTCCAGAAAAGCACACACACCTTAAGCACACAGCCCAAGTTATTTTCACATACTGAACACACCTGTGTAACCAGCACCCGAATCAAGAAACAAAACATTCCTGGCACCCAGAAGCCCCCTTGTGTCCCTTCCCAGCCACTATTCACCCCAGGGGAGTGCCATCCTGACTGCCAATCACGTGGACTAATTCCTCCCATTTGGGATCTTCCTATAAAGGAAATTGTCCAGTGTGTATCTTTTATGTTCGTTTGTTTTCACTCAATTTTTGCTCGTGGGTGTCACCCTTGGGGTGGAGTGTGAGTAGGGACACCCCATCCTCATTTCTGCATGGTGGTCTGTTGTGTGACTGGACTCATGTATATATCCATAATACTGTCAACGGCGACTCTACCCTCCTTGCAACTCAGAGAGCCCATTAATCTCATCAACCTAGTTGCCATCCGGAGAGCCTGCCCAAGGCCACCTCTAACTCAGTCCACTGGGTCTCCAGGCCTGTAGTGCACTTCCCACCTCTGGGCCCAGCCCAAGCCTTACCTCCTACAGGAAGCCTTTCTGGGGTACCCCAGCCTCTGACAGGGCTTTTCCTTGCTTCATCTTATATGGCCTTGGCACCCAGGTAAGTGACTATTACCCGAGAGTGATAAAGGCCCCTTATGTTTCACTGGCACTTTATGGTACCACTTGTGTGGCCATTAAATAGTTGGCTGATTCAGAACAACTTCCAGAAGTAGAGAGGAGAGAGAGTATTAGGCCCGGCCTGCAGAAGAGAAAGCAGGCTCCACCCGATCTGGCAACAAATTCAAGGACATCAGGGTGTAGGGATCTGGGACAGGCACCCAGGCCTTGTGATGCCAAACTGGGGTTTCTCCCCACCACGTACCACCTCTACCTGTACCTGTGAACACATCCTTTCTCCTAAAGCAATATGAGACCTTGAGGACAGACACGGGGCCCTACTCCTATTTTTCTCCTCTCCTGCGCCACAGCCTGCAACTCCCAGGGCCAGGTATGCAGGAGCAGCCCACAAATGGTCTCTGGGTTGATTGACAAGGGAGCCCAAGTTCAAGAGCATGTCAGGAAATCCCTGCATGGGTGTGCAAGTTGGTGACATGGCTCTTTGAGGCAGGCAGGGAGAAGCCACAAGAATAAATCACCCCCGACACAGAAGACCCCACGTGGGCTGCCACTTTTGAGCCAGGGAACCGTGGGCGAGCTCCTTCATCTCCCTGAACCTCAGTCTCCATGTGAGTCATACATAGTGAGAGGAGTGACAGCTTCCGGGCCAACTCCCCACAGGAGAGAAAAGAAACAAAGCGCTTTTACTCAAACAGGGCGATACTTGGGAAAGTCGGTGATGGAGCAAGAGGCTGCTGGAACCTTATTTCGGTTGCACAGGTAACTTGGACTATGGCCACAACCAAGAGATCGTAGGTGTGTGAGGACGCGGGTGGCTGCTGTGACCCACAAGGAGGTCCAGCCTGGGCTCCTTTCCTTCAGATGAGCATGTCCCAAACGGGCAGAACCCTCTCCAGAAGACAGCGGGTACCTAGCTCTGGCTGTGCCCCTAGGCTATTTACCCCAGAGCCCTTGCTAGGACATCGACGGGACATGTCCTACACAACATGTCTGGAACTGCACTCCTGCCCACCCGCTCGTCTTCAGCCTTCCCACCTTGATGGATGGCAACTCCTTCCTTCACCCAGGCCAGACTCCTCAGAGCTGTCTTTGATTCTTCTCTTTCTCTCACATCCCACATCCAACCCTTTTGCAAATCCCGGCCAGTCTACCTTCAAATGATCAGGCTGAACTAGATGAGAGTGCTATATTCGACTGTTCTTACCCATAAAAAATGCAACTTCTTCTGGCTCTCTCTGATGCCTCCAGAATCCACCCGATTCCCTGAGCCCCACTCTCTCAGCTGGATCACGGCCACAGCCCCCTGTCTAGTCTTCCCGCTTGCACCCCTGCCACTTGCCCTGGCAGACTTTTCCAGCACAGCAGCTAAAGGCAGATCTTGATGAAATCTAAGCAAGACCATGCTACCATGTTACTACTCTGGCTCAAAGCTGCCAAGGGGTCTCCTTTGCACTCAGAGTCCCCACATGGCCCTCAAGACCCTCATTATCTGCCTCCCCCATCTCTCTGGCTTCATCTCCCCACCCCCCTCTCTCACTCTGCAGCCGTCACCCACACAGTTCCCAAAGCAACAATTTCCTTAATAATGCAATTAAACAGCTGGATGGAGCTGATAAGGTGTGGCACCTAGATGGGACCACACAGCAGGGCTCCTTCATGGGCACAGAGGCTGAAATCCCTACAGACCCAAGCAGAGGACAGGTGGGAGTGAGGA